TTCACCTTCTCAAAATGATCCCACACTTTGTATTTCCTGCCCGACATGTTATTAACTAGCCTGTGGAATAACCGCAGGTACCAGCCCTGAAAATTAACCTGACTCCTGTCTGACTGCTGAGCGTGGCCATTTCCTGTGTCTGTCCTTTCAAATTAAAGTCACACATTAGGCCCGTTTCCACTGAAGAAGTTCCTGGTACTATTTGGGGGGCAGGAACTATTACAGGAACGTCCTCTCGCTCGGCTCTCTCAACCGCCGTGTCTCCACTGAGAGAGCGGAGTACGAGGAAGGTTCCTGTAAAGTTACGGGCTCTGGATGTGACGTAATCGTTGCGCGACCATTTTGACCGGGGCGACGAAGGGATGTTGTTAGCTGTTAGCCGTTAGCGCTGTCTGTAATAACTCAGTAAATGGCCCGTGAAAAAAATATTTTTTCCAGCAGATGTCTTAGTTACAACATGATTGAGCTAACTGGAGTAGTTTCATGTCGTATTCGACAACGGGAGGCTTTTAACAGATGCTGTTGTGAGCTGTCCCTGTCAGCTGCAGCCACTACTGATGCTTTCTAGACATCGTGATTTCCCATAACTGAATAAATACCACACATAGCAACACAAAACTGCTTTGCTAGCTCAATCATGTTGTAACTAAGATATCCGCTGGAAAAAATATTTTTTTCACGGGCCATTTAGTGAGTTTTTTTTACATGTTGGCGGAAGCTATATGAACGAGCTAATCCTCGTCTGCTGAGTTTTAAAAATGCAGGCTATTTTGTAGCTTTTCTGTTCACGTCACATCCCGCCTTGAGTATATCCAATCAGCACCAAGTAAACCCCAAGCCCCAGCCAGGAGTCTTTCGGGGCCGTTCTGAGTACTTATTCCGAGGCAGGGACTTGTTTAGCCCCTGTAAAAGTTCCGGAACTCTGTCCTTAGGGGGTGGTTCCTGCGGTGGAGACACGCACCAATGGCCCCGGCCCCGTAAAATTACCCCAAAGTTCCTGCGGTGGAAACGGGCCTATTGTCCAGTCATATAGGTTTGGATTTATTTTGACAAGACGCAGCTCCGAATAGAGTTTCACTTTTTTTTTTTCCCCTGCGACCAAGCAACCAATGACATCTTGCCAACTAATGGCCTTTCAGGTCGACTAACGTTTGGTCGACTGTGAGGGGGCAGCTCTATCTCAAACACTGTGTACATAGCTCAAATAACTTATGGAGTGTTAAGAAATATTTTGATCATGTTTCTACATTTACAAATCTTTTGGATCAATATGATGTGTCTGTTTAAATTTAAAATTCCTTGAAAAAACATGTCAGATTTCAGAATGTTTTACTTTTATCAATTGTTATGATTTACTGGCTTACATAACCTTTAAGCTGAGGTTGTACAGATTTTAGGGGTATTAAGCCTTTGAAAATACTCCAAGGAATGACATCACATTAAGCAAAAATACCAACGAATGCACTGGCAGAGTTCAAAGGCTTAATGTTCCCTTGACAGTTGAAAGAAACATGTTTGAGACAATCAATATCTCTTATGTGAGAGAAGTAAAAGATAAAACCCTTAAACTGAAGGAAAGGATGTCAGAAAGACAAGATGATGCAGAGAGATAGAAAACCTGACAGGGTTCTTTTTCAGTTGAAGACAAAAAGAAGAGAACAGAAAAAGACAGAAGTTTAACCTGTTTTATAGCTCAGGTATAGCGCAATGGGGAGGCAGCCCGAGTTAAAATGAGCACCCACAACAACACAGCAACAGAGCAAAGGCTGACCGTGACCACCTGGGTAGAGAAGTATTTGGTATTAACTGGACAAAATGTTCTGGGTCTGACTGATATCTGGTCTGACTTTATTGCTCACTGAACTCGAGCAGTAACAGCAGCCTTAAAGGCGCCACTGAAGGCCAGGAGAGCAGAGAACCATGATGCTGAATTTTATCTGTAGCAGCAGAGCATCAAAGAAGAGGGAAAAAAAAAACATACAGCGAGCGTATGCCTCTGCTCCTCATATGAATTCAATACTTATTGTTGATCTTTTGCTGTCTGGCCTCAGAAATTTTGTGAAGTGAGCGCAATATTTTAAAATGCTAATAAGGTGCTCAATGCATGAAAACACAGAGAAATGTACTTCTCCATGGGGAAAGGATTAGGTGGAGGAGACATAACTGGAAACAAGCACAAGTTTGGTACTGAGAGTAGAAAGACAGAGAGCACAGGCCAGGGGTAAAAGCAAAACAAACTCCCCATGACCCTGCTTCCAGTCTCGACTTGTGTATTTTTAGTGACATAAAAGTTTGACTTTTCAGCAACTTTTGAGGCACGACTGTTTGATTACAACACATGAGTACGTAGCTTTGTTGTCTTTGTTTATTGACACATCTACAGTATGTGTATCTTCCTCTACATTCACTCTTGACATTGTGTTTAAAGAAAGTAAGAGCTACTAAAAAAATCAGAGTCAAATTCCTGCATGCTGAAACCTCCTTGGCCCATAAAGCTGATTCTGATTTTAATGTTCAGTCTCGACAATTGTTTTGTCATCCAGCCTACAAACAGCATTTTATATTTCTCCCAATACTGCAGAGAAGCCCTGTAATTTGTGACTATTGTCAGGCTGTTCTCATAAACTGTTCATACGTTTTCCTACGAAAAGCAATGCACCCAAATTTGCACATACCCCACGTTTTTGAAAGGCTGCAACCACGTGAGCAATATGCTGATGAGAGTGAACAAGGAAGCAGTCCCAAACAGGCTTGTAATGTAGGATTTTTACTTCTGCGTTCGGCATAGGCTCTGCATAGAGCTGATGCACAATAAATCCTGCTTACAGAGGCAGGTTGGGTCACAAAAATGCAGACTTTCCCCTGGGACTTTTCGATGGCAAAGCGTTTTCGGAACGTGAGTGTGAATTTGGAGTGAACTTTGAGTCATTTTAAGGTACAACATCAACCTGTTTCTTTTATTAAACCTAAACACATTAACTTTACTTGCCTGAACCTAACCTCTGTAACTTTATGTGAATTACATAACTGTACGCTAAGGACATAACCTCTTTCACTGGGCGCTATTTTGTAGGGTAACATACGAACTGTTTGGTCTGCATTTCGTCCAATAAGTAACCTCTCTCATGGTAGTTAAAAAGTCGTTTCACACCAAACTTGGATTTTCCTTCAAGAAATTCATTGCGACTAATTTTCTGATATATTATGAATGCTTGAAAGAAATATTTGGGTGGACCTCAATTTCAGCAGATTTCTGCCTTCTGGAATATTCATATCTGACCAATAAAATCTCTCTCCAGTGGCTCTCTGTGGCTTTGGCAAAGAATTATATAGAAATTAATAACGTCAACTTTCAAAAATTTTAAGTTTTTGCTGTCGTAGGCTTTGAATGATTCTTACATTCTCAATTGTAAAAATGTGTTCACAGAAAAAAATGTTACATTTCAACCACTAAATGTGCTTCATACGGCCATCACCTTTCCCTTTAAATTTAGCCAGACCTCAGTAGGGTTGGCTTGTCTTGGATCTCCCTAGCTACGTTAGCTATGGACTCCAGATCGAAAAAAAGTCTTGGAGGGCAATAGAGAATTCAACGGTGCATGGAAATACTTGTTTGCTTTTACCACCAACCCTGCAAAGTTAAAGTACCCAACAATCATAACTAGCCCATAGCAGAGCAGCTACCTTGTAGTAAAACATATCACTAAATGCTTATTAGACCTTTTAGTAATGTTGATGGATGAATTCAGACTCACAGTTACCTTCATTATGAGGATCAAATATGTTTTGCGGCTCCAGGAAGATTATTTGAGAGCTTTCTGGGCTAAAAATGGCTCTTTGGAGAGTAAAGGTTGCCAACCCCTGTTCTAACTGATATCCTGATGTCATGGCTAGTGTGCTGCCAAAAGGGGGGGACATCTTAATTTGGTTCCTTGACACCCAATATTATACAACAAACACTGCGGCAACTACCTTAACAACCAAATAAAGGACAATATATGGCCTGAGATTGAGCGGCAACTGGGATAAAGATGGCAGTGTAGCTTATATGCACTTGCTAACATTATATGCTGGTCACAAAACAGGGCTAGCCACAACAGCTAGCATTAGCATCCAGTTTGGGTCAGATTAGTATATGTACCATTTAAGTAACATTAGCCCTTAGACATTTTATGTCTAAATAGGTTTCTGCTACTGCTTGACTCCATTTCTCTCTCCTCAAAATGAGCTATTTATTTTGTTTTTAAAGAAAATGGAACACAGGAACACGGGTAATTCGCATAGACCTTGTATAGCTGTCATGCATTAAATTCATGTACAGATTTTCCTTACTTTTGCATTGCATTGGTGTAAGGGGTTTTCAGTTGAAATACACCTCACTGCTCATTGGCTATAATTGATCTATTATCATTAGTCTGCATATAAATACAGCACTTCCTAATGTTTTGGTTTGGTTTCCTGAATCTAATTTTTATCTAATCTAAAACTTTAACGAGTAGTTAAACTTTTCATAGGATAATAACGTCACATCCAATTTATATCCCTGTAATGCAATCCTTTCAAGGTGGAGGAAGATTTACTCTTGGTTATTCATGACTGCAACACCTCGTAAGCATTCAGACTTTGTGCTCATTTCACACAGCTTTGTGAGACTGTGCTGTCTCTTTTAATTTCAAACCAACTGCATAGGCCGCAATATTACATGTATTTTTTTATTGCTTTCAGCAAATAATATAGTGCTTGCCTTTTACTTCAGTAGGGACTGCATCATACATTTCCACTTTGTTACCAACTGCACTAATAAGAAAAGTAAACAATACATCTCTGCTACAGACAGAGACAGATGAGCCATGTCAGACCACACAGTCAGCAAGCGTTGAATAAGCACCCGGTAATAATTAAGGATCCAAATAACAGAGCCTTTCTGGTCACGGTGGAAGCCTTGACGCACTGTGGCTGCTGTGTGTAGATGCTTGGGGGCGGGATGAGGGGAATAGTACCTGGGATGGTAGTGGGGTCTACAGCTGTTCTGAAGGAGATGATGCCCGGCTCCGACTTGCCCTGCTGATTCTCTGCCACCACGTGAACCTCATACTCTGTATTCCAGTCCAGGCCGCTCAGCGTCACGTACTCACTGTTGTGGGGAATGCGGATCTCTGGTTTCCAGTCAGATACATGCTTCTGAGGAAGGAATGTAGAGGGGGCACAACTCAGAACTGGGTAAGCAAGTGAGATTTTGGTCATGCAATACAGACACAGAGGAAAGGCTCATGAAACATGCCAACTGTCTGAGAAGATGTGTTTGAAAGAAATTAAGTTTCTTAGGCAGGAACCACTTCAACATTTTGATGAAAGGGTGTCTTAATGTACTGACGAGTTGTCAGTTGTAATTATGGCAGAGGCTAGAAGTTTATTCCTCCTTCTACTTGGTTTGGTAAACTTTCCAAGGACTGTTTATTAGCATTTTTTATGATTCCAATGCAGAGAAAAACTAAAATTATCACCTCACGGTTGTAAGCCTCCGAAAACCAGTCAAGTTGCAGTTACAATTTATATATCCATGTCTGTGAAAACATCAGCAACGCAGAAGATCTCTACAATCAGCACAGTTTCAAGATCAGTGTCACCTATTCAGTATCTGATCAAATGTCTCCCTCTGTCCCTGAGTTATGACCTTGAGTAATGGACAGAAAAATGTTTGAAGGTACTTCAAAGTGTGATAGACATTTTGTGAAATTTTGTTATAATTTGCATATGAATGTTTGAGTTATAGCCAAAGACGTTTTGTGAGGTGACTGTAACCTTTACCTTTGACCTTCAAAATTCTTATAAATTCATTTTTAAGTCTATTTGGATATTTGTGCCCAATTTGAGAAAAGTCCTTCAAGGCCCTGTTGAGATATTGCATTCATGAAAATGAGATGAATGCAAAGTCACAGTTACCTTGACCTTTGACCACTAAATTCTACTCACGTAATTTGTGACTCGAGGTGGATGTTTGTTCCCAATTTGAAGAAATTCCCGAAAGGCATTCTTGAAATTTTGTGTTCATTAGAATGCGCAGATGCAAGGACACAGTGACTTTGACCTTTGATCTTAAATCTCATCAGTTCAAGTCCAAGTGAACGTTTGTGCCCTGTGTATGTACACAGCACAGCTATCGCCAGCACAGAGGCATATAAACAACCCATTCTCATCCCAGGTCAACAAATATTGATGCTTTCTCTCGCCTCTTGCATTTGATACCAATGCAAAAGACACCCTTTGGCACCCTTCATCTGTATGTGACACCCAGGTGACACACAGATGGCGTCATCACATGCAGGGGGCATTACAAAGCATCAGTTTTTGATGACTTGTGAATGAGAACAAGTTGAGAAGAACATAGCATAACAGCAAAGTGGTACCAGGTTACCTCCTTGCCCAGGATACTCACAGCCTTGTATCTGACCAGGTAGTGTTTAATGGGGGAACCGCCATCATCCTGCTTGATCCAGTTGACCTTAAGAGTATTGCCCCTGTCCTGCATCTTGACTTCTAGTTTGGGGGCACTGGGTTCCCCTACACAGGACAAACCAAGGAATCATCAGTAGTTGACATTAATATGGTTGTATCAATATGTATCAATATGTATCAACACCTGCCTGAGTCTACAAGTTACCTAACTGTGCTTCTACTCTTCCTACCATGTTCAAGTGTGCTTGTGTCTTAAAGGTCAGCATAGCTAAAATTGATTGGAAGTTCCACTGTTGGAACTGATTGCCAGTTCAACCTATAATTTTTTAAGAAGCTTAAATGACAAGCATTGCAATCAGAGAACACTGCAGATATGAAGGTAGTAATCAAAGTTTGACTGAGGACGACAAAGTCTTAAAGTCAGACCCGTTAAATCATTGGCTCCAGTGCTCCATGCTTTGTTGACTGATAGCAGAATCCATAATAACATAAAGTAACACCTATGTTTGAGCAATTGCCACTAATGTTTTGTCAAAAGCAGCAATACAGCACAACGGTATTATCCCAACAGAAATGCAGCGACGTCTGACTAGTTTATTTAAGAGAACTGCACAATTATATGTAATTAATGTGAGATTGGAAGTGTTTAGCTTTATCTAATGTTCCAAACATCTCCAAATGTATCATTTATCATAATCAGATCTTTTATATTACATCTGATAAATCCTTCAGATATCCTTCAGAGTAAATTATCAATGTTTTCTTGCCAGATTTGCTTGTGGGAAAATAGACCAAATGCCATACTACTGCTGCAGATTGCAAGCCGGCTGCAGAGCTCAGGGCAGCGACAGGTCTTGTGTAAACAGCCCAACTAGCTTACATGAGTGCTGAAAGAAAGCAAGCAGTGCTCCATGAAGAAAAGGGCACGATTGTACACCAAGGGGCGATTTGGGGCTCTTCTGCCCCCAGTGTGTCTGGTCAGTTGGTCAATTATTTGGTCGTTATGTACTTGTCCAACCAAATTCTCATTGGTCAGACAATCCCTGGTGTTATTTTAATAAGATCTTGTGTCCATTAAAGCATTTCTTTTCCCAGCTGAAAAAGCTCAGTCCTTGTACAGTATTTGTCCTCTGTGATGGTCGTTCTATTCTGTGTCCCGCCCCTTCTCCACTGTGATTGGACGGCTCATGCCGGTGATGAGCGCAGCATTTTACCCAAAGATTGACATTTTTTAAGTGTTATTTTTAATCAGAAAATGGATAAATACTTATAGAAGATGTTCAGCGTTGGATTTATCACTATTGATTAATTTCTCCAAAAAGACAGAGTTACAGAGGTATTTAAAGTTAGTAATGTAATGTTGTATATGACACCTGCAACCCCAGACATCTATAGCAACACATTCTCACTCCGACCTCGTCACATATTGCCATTTGATCACAGATTTTCAACGTCCAGATAAGACATACAAGGTACCCTGGGTGCGTTGGATGTGGACGTTCTTGGATGCCGTGTCAAGTTATGTCTGATACATGCATTGTCTTCTTTCAAAATACATTTCCATTTTCACAGGAAATTTACCGTTTACATATAGTCTCTTTCAAAATAAATGCACTATGTCAGTACAACACACGCATGTTGTTGGGTTCAGGAAAAAAAGAGCAGGGTTTGGCTTTATAATTTCATAGGACACAAACACTGCTCTGCTGGGTGAAAGTTCATGTTTGTTGGACCCATCCACCACCCATCCTCCTCGGACTTTTGCCACCTTAACTTTCGTTCTTGTCCCACTGCGTTTAACCCTGATGCCACCGAGCGCCGCTACTATAATGACGACCAGCCGCATATCATGCCGACATTAAAGGACGGCTTTTCTCGTCAGTGTCTAACGCCGCAATTCACTGCCAAAGTGCCGGATTTTGATGACCTCAAGAGTGAGACTGGGATGTCTATAGTGTCTACAATGTCAGATTTTTCTCATTAGTACTGTTCAATGTTTAGTGGTGAGACGGACTCAGGTAAGCAGATGGAAAAGTATTAAATGTGCCCAATTTATTAATGGACATTATTACATCGGAAATCAATTTTTTTTTCCACTTGAGGCATTCCACTTGCCTGAACACAGAGTTAACTTGCCCTGGGCAAGTGTTAATGTCATGCTTTGTGAAAGGAAAAAAACACTTTGGTGGACACACAATGCTATCAGGTAGTGTGAGGTGTAGGTAGAATTTCAGTCGATGAAGATTTTCTTTGGTTGATTACAGCCCTATATATTAGGGTTAGTTTGGTCTATAGTTTTTAAGAATATATAAAAATATGTAAAACACATAAAATAAAATGGGTATCAATTACTTAGCATATGCTAAAGGATTAGCATGGAGCATTAAATCCAATGTTATGCTACAGTCAGATGAATGACTTTGGTGTCAATGTCCTCATCAGTTTAATGTATACAATCTGATCTATGGGTACGTTTCCCTGACAAGGACTTTCAGTAATCACATGAATTATTACTTGTCCGTCAGAAGGGCAAAGGGAAAAATAGTATTACATTCCTCTTAAGGAGGATGTTGGGGTCGATGAATGGCCACATTTTTACTCTAACCTAAATGAGGTGAATATTTTAGCCCAAAGTTTACTTTACTCTAGAGTAGCTTTTGTGCCTAACCCAAACTTTAACCATGGCAGTGGCAGATGAGAAAACTGTGAATCAGCTTTGTAATGGTGTTACGAACAGTTTTGGAGTGGCTGAGGTGCTGTTTTCCTTGAGGATTCTAATTATCTGCTCTGTCCTCCTGACTAATGACTGCTGACACAATTACGCTATTACTTTTAATAATACATACATAGCCTTGTGGGAGGGAAGGTCGTGGCGTTTTGTGTGCATGTGTAAAGGCTTTTATGCTCATGCTACTCTAAGGGAGGAGACTAACAAACCAAACTCATTAATTACATACATATTGGCTACACACAGATAGCCTTGGGATGATGTTATGAAATTGACTACCTCATGGTGTTAGAGCCTTTTGCCCTGTACTAACAGTCTGATAATAACAGCCCATAAGCAGGTGGCAGAAAAAACATTCTCATTATGTTATATAATTGAAGACATGATGCAGATATTAATGTATGGCTTTGTTAGGAAGTCACTGAGGAGGTATGGAATAAAAAAGCATTGGCATACATTTCAAAATGAACAGGAAAAAATTGTCAGCGCTCATGTTTTCATACCCCACATTGAACATTTCAAACGTCAGTGTTAGTGGTTGTAGTTAATTAAATGAATATGCATGAAGGCACTTTTCTTTGATCGTATGTAATCACTCATCTGAGCGCACTGCCTGAAAACTGCATTCCACTAGACTGGAGTGAGCATGACAGAAGCTGGAAGTGAATCAGACAGTGTTCGTTAGTAACAGCAGCAGTAACATGGTGGCAGGTAGACACTGGTACATTCAGCGTTGTTATTCACAAGCATTATTCTGGGTTAGGTCAGTTTTTGTTTCTGAGGCTAAAACAGAGAGAGGGGGTGGTTAGAATGACAAGCTTCTCCATGCAGGCTGGAAATTTTGGGTGCTGCCACACATTCAGAGGGGGGGACATGTGGAGCGCTGTCCAACAACCTCACACGTCGGAGGTGTGGTTCCACATGTAACCCGACCTAATGCAGCATCCCTGTCATCTTCCAGCGTACGTTGAGACAGAAAGTGGATAGAATTGAACAAGTGTTATTAAAAACATGCTGTTGGATACTGAAATTACTTCAATTGTGTGAGTTCATTGTTCCATCTGATTTAAAATTCAAGGCTTAAATCATATAACTGCTCTATTTGTGTCAAAGAATGTGAAGCAAATGATTAGCATTTATAAATCACTATTTTCAATGCAATGCATCGCTGTTCAGCTTTAAACCTTTAAATATGTTCCATAGAGTGGATTATACATATTACTGTAAATGTGACTGATATAAAAGTAAAATACGTACTAATTTTCATTTAGAAGTATGTTCCAACTTTTTTCTTAGACAGAAGTTATTCAGAGCAAAAGTCTATCAATCTAAGAATTATGATCTAAAAATACCTTAAGGCCTTTACACACCAAGTTAATTTTTTTTTGTCTGTTTTTTTAAATCCGTTACTTGATGAAAATTGTTACATTTTACACTCATGTCTGTGAAAACATGGATGCTACGCGTATATCTTCCCCCCACAGCAGCACAGAAGATCTTTACAATCAGCACAGTTTCAAGGTGGACACCCAAGATTAGTGCCACCAATTCAGTGTCTGACCAAATGTCTCCCCTTCCGTTCCTGAGATATGACGCTGAATAATGGCCAGAAAAGAGTTTTTGCAGAAAATTATGATGTCACAGTGAAGATGACCTTTGACATTTTGGATATCACATTTTATCACGTCATTATTTTATCCTGTTAAACATTTGTGTGAAACGTTGTCATAATTAGTGTATTAATTATTGAGTTATGGCCAAAAACATGTTAAGTGAGCTCACAATGACCTTGACCTTTGACCTTTGACCACCAAATTCTAATTAGTTCATTCTTAAGTCCAAGTCGATGTTTGTGCCAAATTTAAGGAAATTTCCTCAAGACCTTCTTGAGATAGTGTGTTCCCGAATTGAGATGGACACAAGATCACAGTGACCTTTGACCATCAAATTCTAATCAATTCATCGTTAAGTCCAGATAGGCGTTTGAACCAAATTTGGAAAAAAAAAAAAAAAAAAAACTCTCAAAGCATTCTTGAGATATTGTGTTCATAAGAATGAGACAGGCGAGGTCACAATGACCTTGATGTTTGACCTATGACCACCAAAATTTAATCAGTTTATCATTGAGTCCAAGTGGACATTTGTGCCATATCTGGAGAAATCTGAAAAATCAAACCTGTTTCAAATTTATTGTTGTTGTATTTCTTTTTAAACGTGCAACAATTTCAGTTGAAAAATACGGACTTGGTGTACAAGGGCCTTTATTTTTAAACTTCTATTTTCATTCTTAAACGTGTTTCTCAAATTTCTGAAATCAATTTAAACATGAAATTGTTTTTGTCATGTCACCCAATGCTGTCTTATAACATAAAAATGT